TTATCAATTTGATCCGAATGAAAAGAAGAAGAGAGCTCACTAACTTTCAGCTCCAACAATTTATCAATTTGATCCGAATGAAAAGAAGAAGGGAGCTCACTAACTTTCAGCTCCAACAATTTATCAATTTGATCCGAATGAAAAGAAGAAGAGAGCTCACTAACTTTCAGCTCCAATAATTTATCAATATGATCCGAATGAAAAGAGGAAGAGAGCTCACTAACGTTTAGCTCCAGCAATTCATCAATTTGATCCGAATGAAAAGAAGGAGAGAGCTCACTGAGGTTTAGTTCCAATAATTTATCAATATGATCCGAATGAAAAGAGGAAGAGAGCTCACTAACTTTCAGCTCCAATAATTGGGGTGGACCAACAATACCATTACCAAAACGGTAAGGCTGATCATGGTAGTACTGTTGGGGTAAACCATCAATACCATCATTAAAACGGTAAATCTGATCATGGTAGTACTGTTGGGGTGAACCAACAATACCATTATTAAAACAGTAAAGCTGATCATGGTAGTACTGTTGGGGTGAACCAAAAATACCATTACTAAAACAGTAAAGCTGATCACAATGATACTGTTGGGGTGAACCAACAATACCATTATTAAAACATTAAACCTGATCATGGTAGTACTGTTGGGATGAACCAACAATACCATTATTAAAACATTAAACCTGATCATAGTTTTCCTTTTTTATTCATGTATCATGATACACATAATATTATTCCCAATTATTATTCACGTTTCCATGTTTTTTATTCATGTATCATGATACACACAGTATTATTCTCAAGTATTATTCACGTTTTCCATGTTTTTGATTCATGTATCATGATACAATATAATTATTCTCAATTATTATTCACGTTTTCCATGTTTTTGATTCATGTATGATGATACACATAATATTATTCTCAATTATTATTCACATTTTCCATGTTTTTGATTCATGTATCATGATACACACATTATTATTCTCAATTATTATTCATGTATCATGATACACACATTATTCTCAATTATTATTCACATTTTCCATGTTTTTTATTCATGTATCATGATACACATAATATTATTCTCAATTATTATTCACGTTTTCCATGTTTTTATTCATGTATCTCTACAGCAACAGATGTTTACAAATATAAAAACAAAACAAACTGAAGCAATATTTTAACCATTTATGCAATTTGAACAACTTGGATTACAGGCAGAAAAACCGTATCGTTTTACCACAGTTCTGATTTTTAATAACTGATATTTTTTTTTCATTTCTTTCGTAAATATTATATTAACTACCTACGATTCGCTGCGGGGTTCCAAAGTTCTCTCAGTGTACCAATCAAGCTTCTACACTATTCTCAATTACTCCTGTAGCTACCCCAAGGGGGTCCGTACCCGAAAACAAACTCCATTAGGACAACATGCCCGTGTGGTACCTGGTCCGTGTGTGTGGGCATAAACACAGTTTCAAACGTGGCGCCCCCGTATCCCTATGCCGGATTCGGGTTCAGTGATCCTGAAAACCTTCTCCTAGACCCTCCATCAACTCTGAAGGACCTTTTTGGCGCGTTTTGGTCCCCCCATAGGAGGGCTACGCCATACAGAGAAGTTTTAGTTAGTTTTTTAGAGCAAAGCTACGCTACATTGAGCTATCTGCTTTGTCCACCACGGGGAATCGAACCCCAAATTTTAACGTCGTAAGTATGTAAACCTACCGCTGTCCCACAGGAGGAGGACTTTAGTTGTTGTACTAATACCTAGTAAGTGTTTATAAAAAAACCGTTGAGAAGTGTTTGTTAGTTTAATCACACACGAGATCAAACTTATAAATTTTTACCCAAACCTTACAAATATTATTTAAAAATATTTGACATTTCCACTAGATAAAAATATACTTTGTAGTTGTGAAGCCATTGAATTAGGGTTGGTTAGAAAACCGTTTGGAAAATCTTTTCGTCTTGTCAAAGAGTAAATGTATTAGGTTAATAGTTTAATTTGAACAAAATGATTTTGTTTGTTTGTATTTTAAGTAAAAAGCTACACAATGGGTTACCCGTACAGTGCTCCCAACGGGTATCGAAACCCGATTTTTAGCGATGTAAGCCGTCAGAATTGCCGGTAAGCCAATGTGAAGCACAAGAAAATGCATCTTTGGCAGTTTAAAAAATCTACAAAAGTATTGTTATATGTTTGAGTACATTAAATAATAAAATATGTGATGTGGGATGATGGGAAAATTTACAAAAAATTGTTTAAAAAAAAGAGACAAATTAATACAATATTAAATATGCAATAAAATAAGAATTAAATCATATTTTATGTTGATATATATATATATATATTTGTACGTATACATAGATACAATAAATAGACATACTTTAATTCACCCAAGAATTATAGATTATCAATTTTAATCATAATCCAAACCACTGTGAACATCATACACAAGACATTACAATATGATTAGCTTCCGGTAGTGTTGGTCCAAACCAACAGTATCACTGTGAGCTACAGTTTTGCCTATTCAAGGCTCATCAACACAACTTGAGTCAGCAGATCAAAGAAATACCACAAGGCCTGTCAGATATAATGAGTGTAATAATTTTCTCCTAATTAGGTCAGTACCAGCTATGTATTTGTCTGAGTATAGTTTTATACACAAAAAATATTAAAAGGTTATAATAGATAGACCAAAACATTCATAGAATGTAAGACTTGACGTAACTACAGGTGATAAATATGCTTAAGCTTTATTATCGATTTATAAAGCGTACAAACAGTCATAATAACTACAACTTTGGCAACAAAAAAAATGAATTCAAGATAGTTACACAACTCTGATTCTGCTACAAATTTATTAAAAATGTCATTCATGATACACACAGTATTATTCTCAATTATTATTCACGTTTTCCTTTTTATTCATGTATCATGATACACATAATATTATTCACAATTGTTATTCACGTTTCCATGTTTTTTATTCATGTATCATGATACACACAGTATTATTCTCAATTATTATTCACGTTCTCCATGTTTTTGATTCATGTATCATGATACACACAATATTATTCTCAATTATTATTCATGCAGAGGGTATGGCCAATCAAAGAATGTATTAGGTCTCTATGTCACAAATTCTCTTTAAAATTTCACTTCTGGTGAAAAACAAAATAGATCTGTAACATAAATATGCATCAATACTCTCTAGTACGTAATTCGAAACTTGTAAGAATTAATGAGATTGATGGTGTATCAGAAGAAGAAAAAACAGTTTTAGAAATATATTGGTTTTTGGAGAAGCAGCTAGACTTGTGAAAATAAAGCCCAATAATAAATAATTCTGAAGAACCAGGGATAATAAAACATCTATTCAGAAAAAATAGATATTATAAAGTACTCTAATTTGGTTAGAATATCTGTTCCGAATAAATATATATCGTAAAGTACTCTAATTTGGTTAGAAGATCTGTTCCGAATAAATATATATCGTAAAGTACTCTAATTTGGTTAGAATATCTGTTCAGAATAAAGATATATCATAAAGTACACTAATTTGGTTAGACGATCTGTTCTGAATAAATATATATCGTAAAGTACTCTAATTTGGTTAGAAGATTTGTTCAGAATAAATATATATCATAAAGTACTCTAATTTGGTTAGAAGATCTGTTCTGAATAAATAGATATCATAAAGTACTCTAATTTGGTTAGAAGATCTGTTCCGAATAAAGATATATCATAAAGTACTCTAATTTGGTTAGAAGATCTGTTCCGAATAAATAGATATCATAAAGTACACTAATTTGGTTAAAAGATCCGTTCCGAATAAAGATATATCATAAAGTACTCTAATTTGATTAAAAGATCTGTTCCGAATAAATATATATCATAAAGTACACTAATTTGGTTAGAAGATCCGTTCCGAATAAAGATATATCATAAAGTACACTAATTTGGTTAGAAAATCTGTTCCGAATAAATATATATCATAAAGTACTCTAATTTGGTTAGAAGATCTGTTCCGAATAAAGATATATCATAAAGTACACTAATTTGGTTATAAGATATGTTCCGAATAAATATATATCATAAAGTACTCTAATTTGGTTAGAAGACATGTTCCGAATAAAGATATATCATAAATTACACTAATTTGGTTATAAGATATGTTCCGAATAAATATATATCATAAAGTACTCTAATTTGGTTAGAAGACATGTTCCGAATAAAGATATATCATAAATTACACTAATTTGGTTAGAAGATCTGTTCCGAATAAATATATATCTTAAAGTACTCTATTTTGGTTAGAAGATATGTTCCGAATAAAGATATATCATAAAGTACACTAATTTGGTTAGAAGATCTGTTCAGAATAAAGATATATCATAAAGTACTCTAATTTGGTTAGAAGATCTGTTCAGAATAAATATATATCATAAAGTACACTAATTTGGTTAGAAGATCCGTTCCGAATAAAGATATATCATAAAGTACACTAATTTGGTTAGAAGAT